AGATGATATCAAAAGAAGCTCAGTTTTCTCTCTGTTTAATTTTAACTAATTAAGAAGCATCCAGGTATCAATTTCTTGTACACAGGCTTCCAACTTACTTTTGCTCACTTCCATCTCATTAAGGGATGACGTCTCAAAAGTTACATAGCTGCATATCATTAGCATAAAAATGAAAACTTAACCCGTGTTTATTGGCGATGTCACTCAGTGGAGAAGTGTACAGGGAGTATAACAGCGGACCCAGGACAGATCCCTGGGGTACACCAAACTGCAGAACATGACGCTCAGACATCGAACCATTGACATTCACAAATTGAGTGCGGTCCCTCAAGGACGACCGAAACCATTCCAATGCCGTACCACCAATTCCAAATTGAGAAGAAAGGCGCGAAAGTAAAATACAGTGATCAACAGTGTCAAATGCTGCCGAAAGATCAAGGAGTAGCAAAATCACTGATCTTTTGTGGTCTAACGCCATAGCAATATCATTATGAACACGGATTAAGGCTGTCTCAGTACTGTGTAGTTTTCTGTACGCTGACTGATAAATGACGTTAAGATTATTGGCATCTAAATAAGCAGTAAGCTGCTTGGCAACACATTTCTCGATAATTTTAGACAGAAAACTTAAGTTCGAAATTGGCCTAAAATTCTTGAATTCATCTGAGCTTAAAGCTTGCTTCTTGAGCAGTGGTTTGACGCTGGCCACTTTAAGATCAGTAGGAAGTCTACCAGATTCCATTGAAAGGTTGACAATCTTGGTTATCACTGGTCGAACAGTGGTAAAGCAGTCCTTCATGATAGAACCAGGAATAGGGTCTGGATTACAAAACTTTAAATACATAGATCCAACAATTGCCGTAAGTTCAGTCAATGAGACACTTGCAAAGGTAGTAAATTGACATTCAGCAGCAACGTCTCTGAACTCAAGAACATTGTCAGGTGTAGATCGATCAAGGTCTTCACGAATTCTCCTGATTTTATTGTCAAAGAACGCAATAAACTCCTGTGCTAACGATGCGGTACTCTCATGTTGCGGAAACCTGGTTTCTGGGTGCTTGTGAAACAATTTCGAAAAAGTCGAAAACAATTTTCTCAAATCACATTGGTTTTCAGTGACCAAGCTAGAGTAATAATTCAATCTTGATGATGACAACATATCGTTTACAGCGTGACATTGTCGAACAAAATTCTCACGATCAGAAGCTGACCGAGTCACACGCCATTGCCTCTCTAATCTCCTTCGCTTTCTTTTTTCAGTTTTGATTTCCTCCGTATACCAAAGAGCAGCAGGGCGAATAGTGATGACACGCCTTTTGACCGGAGCATGTTTGTTCAGGGTAGAAACCAATGCAGATTTGTAGAGAGCAACTAATTGATGAAGATCATCCGGTGGATGCAGCAAAAGTGATGAATTGGCAAGTTCATCACAAAACATTGCAGTGTCTATGGTCTTTAGCTTGCGAAATTTAATTTCTTTTCTTTCAAAGCTAGGTTTGGCTATCGATATATCACAATGAACAACAAAATGATCAGATAATGCAGGATCACACACAGGACGAAATCACACGTTTCCGTATTTCTGAAACGTGGCGGAAACATGCAACTCCATGTTTCCGTTATGTCTACGTCTTGCGGAAACATGAAAATTCAAGTCTACGTGATTCTGTCAAGTTTCCGTCATATTTAAGTTAGCAGATTTCCGCTGTTGCTCGTTTCCGTCATGTTTCTGCAAAAGGATTTGCAGTTGTTTGCTACATCTACCAAAACAAAAACGCGAGATGAGTCTTTGAACAACAATAAATCTTAACATTTTAACCAGTAGGAGACGAACTACAGCTGCAGCCGCAGGAAGTACCTCACCTCACACTTCGTAAAATGACAAAATAATATAGGGTGGTATGAGGAGTCCGTGTAAGGGCCCTTAATGTATAAGGACTGTGCAATGATCAGTATGCGTTT